CCCTAAACCCTAAACCCTCCATTTCTTGATGGAGGTGCAGGTTCCGCACGCCCTGAAGTCTGGGCCATGCCCGGCGCACCTCGGTAGAGCTTAAGAAAAGGAGCCTGCATCAATCAGGGCTTAGGGTCTAGGGTTTAAGGGTCTAGGGTTTAAGGGTTTAGGGTTTAGGGGTTTAGGGTTCAGGGTTTAAGGGTTCCAGGGTTTAAGGGTTTAAGGGTTAAGGGTTTAAGGTTTAGGGTTTAGGGTTTAAGGGTCAGTAACAGTAATAGTCGTAATATCTGTAATTGTGTGCATATGGTGTGTTTGTACCTAGTAGTAGTAGTAGTAGTAGTAGTAGGAGGAGGAGGAGGAGTAGTAGTAGTAGTAGTAGTGGTAGTAGTAAGAGTAGTAGGAGGGCTTAGGAACATAAACTAGGACATGATGTAGGGTTTAGGATGTGGAAGGGTAAGGCCTTCCAAATGCAAAGGATGGGCTGCGGTTTCAGATTTGGAGTTGCAACATGCGCAGGGCTTTGGCCCCGCAAAACTGAAACTTCGGAAGGTTTTTCTGTCGGTGAGCTTGCTGGCAGACATCGTTCACCCCAACACTACCCCTTCTAAACCCTAATCCCTAAACCCTAAACCCAACACCCTAGGCCCTAAACCCTAAACCCTAAACCCAACACCCTAGGCCCTAAACCCTAAACCCTAAAACTCAACACCCTAGGCCCTAAACCCTTCCTTGGCCAGATGCAAGGTCTCCCAGCTCAAAGATACCTTCGGCCCATGCGTGGGAGATAAAGACCTGCTCCAGGTTCAGGGTTTAGGGTTTAGGGTTGAGGGTTCAGGGTTAACTCCAGCTAGCTACCATTGGAGCCATAGTCTATAAACTCCTAGCATAACAACCCCTATAATGGAGAATCAAATGGAAAAGAAATGGGAAAATGGAAACTGGGCTAGTATAGGGGATTGTAGCGGTTATAGTCCATAAACTCCTAGCACCCCCGTTTATAAGCCCTATAATGCTCCACTATCTAAACTCCTATGGAATCCCCATTAAGGAGTTTAGACTATCGCTCTTGTAGGGCTTAGGGTTATAGGGTGTCGGTCTTCGGGTTTAGGGTTACTACAAGGTTGTTAAGCGGAGGTGGTGTCCGGAAGTCATCTAGCAAGCCCCTTACCTCCCAACGACAGTACATGAGGACAGCTTGCAAAGCTTTCTTGGAACTATAAAGTCCTAATGCGAGTCCCCATTGACACCCCTCAGACCTAGATGTTGCTTGCCTGGTGGGGCAGGGCCTTGCAAATTTGCGCATGCAACAGTGGTGGGCTCAGTTCTAGTTCTTTACAGTTGCAACCAGTTCAGTTGCGGAAGGTCACGGTTGGTCCGCTGCGAAGCCCACAGTTGCTATATGGGAGTTTCCCAAAATCAGGGGTACCTTATTGGGGGTCCCCATAATAAGCACTGTAGTATATTGGGGTCTATAATGGGGTCCCCTAATTTTGGGAAGCTACCATATACTTGGAATATGACTAACGTTCAACCCATCCACACCTCTCTTGCTTTAGGTTGCCTTCTTTATGTGGCTTATCCAGACTAAGTACGCCACTGCGCAGTCAGAATAAACTCTAGTTAGCCCTAACCTTCAGCAAGGTCCTCTCATATCCGCTTTCTGTTGAGGACTAGTACTTACTCTTGGGCTTTATAAGCCTAGAAATGTTACCTACATTAGGCCCTAGGAGTCTATCAATAGTACCTACATGGAGCCTTAGGGATAGGGTTATGGGCTACAAACCTCAATGGCAACCCGAAAGACGCAGGCCTGGCATAGGAGCCCCTCAGGATGCTTCCTCGATTTCAATGCTGGCTGGGGCCACAAACTCACAGAGAAGGAAGGAACATGAGACGAAGGCAAAGAAGGAGTTATAATGTTTTTTTTTACACGTACGTGTAAAAAAACATTATAATTCAGTCGCAAGAAAAGGAGCAGAAAAGAAGAAATAGGAGTTGGAGGAGGAGTACTGGTAGATGGTAGTGGTAGAGGTAATGGTGGGGGTTGGACCGGGGGTAGCGGGAGGGGTAGCGGCGCCAGCAGCAGCAGCAGAGCCGGCAGTGGCGGTGGCATCATTGTGGCAGTAAAAGTACTGGTCATAGTAAGGCTGCACTCCTTGCGTTTTGAACATTCAAAGGTCAGCAATCACATGCAAAACCAAGCTTCATCAGCGCGTAACTCATACCGCCCGCTGCTAGAGTGACCGGCTTCACATAGTGCTCATTCACCTCAACAGCAGAACTTAAGGCATTCTTCCTTACAGCCGTTTTTACCACAGAAAGCCATGAGTGAGAATGGCCCTTGAATTGAGCCCCTTTAAGGACCGTTACTCGCAGTGGAAGTAACCCAAAGCAGAACGCTCAAAGCACGCAAATGTAACTTGGCCCTGTGAACCTTTAGGGTTGCACCCTTGGATGTGACCGATCTCCTCGCCCAAGGATACTGAGGACATGTGACTCAGGATCTCCACAACAGCAGGAAGGACCAAAACTAACGTTACGAAGGATGCCTTCCGAAAAGAGTGTTGGCACCTGGACTCACGCGCGGGAGGGAGCTCGTCGATATGGTAGAAGACGGATGGTACAAGGATGTGACACCACCGTTGCCGGAACAAAGCTCGAATTGTGACTTTGCTTTTAGATGCAAAGGCACCAATTATAGAACCCTCTCTGAATCGTGACGCCTAAGTTATCCTAGATCCAGACTCCGCTCAATCCATATGCTCAGCCCGAGGCCAGGAACCGGAAACTCTGCATCCTATCCCTGCAACTACACCCCAATCCAAGCTTCAATCCTGAACCTCCTCATACATCCCAATTCCTCACCAAACCTTCAGCCCTAAAACCTCAAAAGCATACCCTCAACCTTCAGCCCTGCACCCAAATCCCAGACCTAAACCCCCCCTAAACCTTCGGTTAGCGTTGAGGGTTTAGGGTTTAGGGGCCTGGTAGAGATTCGGCCCGCGGTTCGACGCGTCTCGCTCGGGGTCAATCTCATGCTCGCCAATCGATATCTTGCCTTGTTGCCACAGGAGGCGCACCTGTAGGGCTTGTAGGTAAGTTTGAAATTTTCAGGTTCAGTGCAGTTGCCTCAACAGTTGAAATCTAACGCACATCATGTATTATGAGGGTGGCCAGAGATTACTCTCGCTGATTATTCAAGCCTCGACATTAGGTGCAGGTTTGGATCTAGGGATATCTAGGGCGAAGGGCCCAAACAAATCACTCCCGTGCAGAGCCTAAACTGTAATGTAAACCCTAACCAAACAGACTTTAAACCCTAAACCCTGAAATTTGAACCCTAGCCCCTAAACTCTCAACCCTAAACTCTTGGCACTATGCTCAAGCAGCCTCTCCCCGCTTTGCACTTTAGCAAGAGGTACAGCTAAGCGAGCAAGTTTAGCCAACCAGTAAACTTGTAAACCCCACATGCACCACCGAAGTAAATACCCAGACGGTTTGTTGTCCTTCTGTCGACATGGTTACTGCCTGCCTGATGCTACGACCCTGGACATTACAATCATGAGAGTTCGGCATTGTAAGGTCATGCAAGGTTTGTTAGTAGCAACAATGAACCCTAAACCGTCAGCCACTTAGGTTTTGGAGCCCCGCGCATCCTGGACGAAGGCCTGGAACTCAGAGCGGGTGATGCACCACCGTTCAGGCGGGATCCGCAAATGCAGCTCCATGAGGGTTTAGGGTTAAGGATTCGGCTTCTTAGAATAGATTACGCTGTAGCTCTCTGTGGATCCACAATCACTGCTGATGATGCTATGGCACATGGGATTGGAACGACAATTAGGCTTTAGGCTGGACAGGGTCAGTTCCTCCTCAATGGCACTGGAATTCAATAGGATGATGATGGGTGTTCGTCCATGTATAACAAAATTCAGAGACAGGAAGGCTTACGTCAGGGTTCTTATCTGTCCAATCTGGTTCCTATGCTAATTGCTAGGACGGAACCCTCACAGCACCATGCTGTGCTGACAGCCGTGTGAGAAATCTTGC